GGGGGAATGTCGTCGTCCTCATCCTCGCTCAACACCATGCGGCGCCGCTGCGGCGTCGGCGCCTCTTGCGGCGCGGCCTGCTGCTGCTGCTGCTGCTGTAGTGACACAGGCACTGGCGCCGCTGCTGGCAGCGGCGCCGACGCTGCGGCGTCGACCCCGGGTGCCGCCTTGGGCTGCACCCCGCGGCCGCCCTGCTTGAGGCGCAGCCGCACCTTTTTAGGCGGCGCCGCGGCCGCCCGCGCCGCCTCCACCGCGCCCTGCTGCTGCAGCTCCGCCCGCTGCACCGGCGCCGCGGCCGGCGTGGCGTCCGGCCTGCGCTGCTGCTTTGCGGGCGCAGCCCTGCGCTTTGCGGGGGCGCCGCCGCCGCCGCGCCGGCCGCCCCCGCCTGAGCCGCTGTCCTCTTCAAAATCAGAGCCTAGGCTGGACGGCTCAGATTCATCAAGCTCTGAGTCACCCTCATACGCCGCTCGGCGTCGCGGCGCGCCGCCGCCGCTGCCCCTGCGCCGCGCCGCGGGTGGCTTGGCGGCCGGCGCCTTGCCTGCGGGCGTCTTGCGCTTTGGCGCAGGCGTGCGGCGCCGCTTGGGCGCGAAGCCACCGCTGTCGTCGTCAGAGGCAGCATCCTCGTCCGACTGCTCGCTGCTCTCGTCGCTGTCGTCGTTCTTGCGTCGCCGCTTGGCTGGCGGCCGTGCCGGCTTGCGCGCGCTCCCAGCCGCGGCGCCGCGGCCGCGCAAGGGGGCGCGGGATCGGGGCGCGGCCGGCGCGGGCTTGCGGCGCCGCTTCTTGGCGCCCGAGCTGTCCGATGCGTCGTCGGAGTCTACGGATGCGTCCGAATCATCGTCGTCATCATCATCGTCCTCCTCCTCTGCTCCCGCATTCCACTCGTCGGAGTCTGCGCGACGCGCAGGGCAGCTCAGGCGCTGTGCGCGACGCAGCACAAACAGGTGCTGCGGTGGGTCGCAACGGGCCTCACTGCACCGTCAGAACCTCAAGACAACTTACCGGACATGACAATGTCAGGGCTTCCGCGGTATATACAGGGATCCTTCTGGGAGCTGAGATCAACCCAGCACGGTGTGATCTGTAATAGTCTGTCTAATCTGTACACCGATTAGAATTGTACACGATCTTGCATTGCCCTTTTCTGTACCGAGCGATAGCTTGTCTCGAACAGAACCTGAGCGAAGTCAAAACGATCGCTGACGTGAGCACAACATGAACAAACAACGAGCGAAGACCTTAAGTGCAGCTTCGTATCCACGGTCATACATTTTCGAAGCACGGGCACCGCTGCACCATGAAAATCGCTCCTCAGCAGCATTGCAGCTCAGGACCGCGGCCTTGTAGAAACAACCAGCGAGTAATTAGGAGGTAGGACGCCGACATGGTGCCCCCAAGCGTAGCCCATTGGCCGCGCGGGCCAGGGTCCCATTGCCGCCGCCCTCCCCATCAACCTGTGGTGCGCGCCGCCCTGCTCGCAGGCGCACCTGCATCGCGGCGGGCGCATCCCGGTCGCAGCATCACCAGCAAGGCCAGGAGCGGCAGCAGCAGCAGCAGCGCCAGCAGCAGCAGCACCAGCAGCAGCAGGAGAGCAAGCCGCAGCAGAGCAATGTGCCCTTGCATGCTGGTGCCCAGCAGACGTCGGCACCCGAATGGTTGGGCGCCTTGAAGCAGGTGGGCAGAGAAGTCGCACGCAATGCGTGACCCACGGCAATGCACAAGGGGGGGGGTTACGAGTTGATGCTGAGGTCTGACTGCTGCCTGCCGACAGCCCTTGCTGCCTGCCGAGCTATCTGAGTAATGCGGCGGTTGCAACCGCAGGGCCTGGCGCGGGCGGCCGCGGCGGCGCTGGCGGTGGCGTTCGTGGGCGGCAGCTGCCTGCCTGACGCGCAGGCGGTGACAACCGAGCAGCTGCTATTCCTTGAGGTGCGCGCGCATCACTGCTTTTAAGTGTCAGCATGGCAAAATAGCCTCGAGCCTGGCAGGATGAAAGAGGCCTGGGTCAAAGGGGTCCAGATGGGAAACGGGGGACAAGGGGGAAAAAGGGGGAGTGCTATGGCGCCCTGTTATCATTGAGTGCTTCGGACTGTGGCAGCGCGCTGGCACAGCCGCTGGTGTGTGTTTTCGCTGGCGTCTGAGTTTGACAACCTTGGCGTCGATATGTCGATTACAAGCCTGCGACGCTCGCGTTGACACCACCCTGATATCACACCAGGCGTGGCGCACCATCGACAAGGCGTACGTGGACAAGGGCTTCAACGGCCAGAGCTGGTTCAGGGTGGGCGGGGACGCACCGCTCGGGGGGCGAGGGGCCGCATGCGCCAAGACTTCCGCCGAGTGCAGGGACGAACAGATCATTCAAAGCAGCGGGGCGAAGCGGCAGCCAGCGACAACCCCTTTCGGCCATCCCCTTGCTTGTAGCACCCGCTTGGTGGTTGCCTCAACACCGACTCGACCCCATTACTGCTTTCCTACCTCGTCGCTGTCACACACGCAGTGTCAGCGCACACCGCCCCTCCCGCCGCCCGCAGGTAAAGGAGGACTATCTCAAGAAGGTGCCCATGAACAACCGCCAGCAGACACACGACGCCATCCGCCGCCTGGCTGCGTCCCTTGATGACCCCTTCATGCGGTGGCTGGAGCCCGAGCGCCTCGCGGCGCTGCGGCGCGGCACGGCCGGTGCGCATGCGCCGGCGGGCTCACACTTGCCTGCGCTGGACGCTGCCTGCAGGGGCCTCTTTTCCGCCGGGAGCACGCAAACCATTGGGACCCCGCCACATCCTGCCTGGCGCCCTGTGCTCCTGCGGGCGGCGCCACGGCGTTGTCCCAACCCTTGATCCTCCCTGCGACCTGCCGCCAGCCTGGCCACAACCGCTCCCTGTCTCAGCCCCTCACCCCTGACAACCCCCGTTAAGGCGCCGTCACGGGTGTGGGCGTGGAGGTGACATTCACGGACTCGAAGGCCGGCAGCGAGCTGGCCGTCGTGACGCCCGCGCCCGGCGGCCCTGCAGAGGGCGCAGGCATCAGGGCCGGTGACGTCATCGAGGCCATCGCGGGCACGCCCACCAAGGGGCTGTCGCTGTACGAAGTGTCAGACCTGCTGCAGGGGGAGGAGGGGTCAGAGGTGAGCGCCGTGGAAGCGGACATGGCTTTGGAGGGAGTTTAAAGGGGGTGTCGGCATGGGAGCAGGCACGAGGCCTGGATGGGGAGGAACACCAACGGGAGCCCGGTTCGTGGTGGCGTTTGTGGGCGTGCCGGCCTCGTCTGCTGGCATCGCCTCATGCACCAACCCTATGTGCGGCCCATGGACGAGGCTGTCGCTGTGACGCAATCCTGCAGGTCATCCTGCGCATCCGCTCCAGCGGGCGGCCGTCGCGGGACGTGGCGGTGGCGCGGCGGCGCGTCACCATTGTGCCCGTGGCGTATGAGGTCTGCAGCGGCGTCAACCCGGCCTCCCTGCCGCCAGGTGCGGCGGGCGGGTGTGGCTGCACGCACACCAGGCGCAACCCCTCACTCGACCGCTCACTGCTGACCGTCCTGGGTAGCATGTGTGTGTATGGCAGTGGCAACCTCCATGTGGCAATGTCTACAAGCGCCCGCACCCGCACCAGCGCCCGCACCAGGCTCGCACCAGCAGCACCACCACTATCCCAAGCACCAGCGGCAGCAAGAGCACCAGCGCTGCCAGGCGAACTCTGTACGCCACCCTCCCCGCAGGCGCCTCCGCCCCCGGCCGTGTCGGGTACATCCGCATGGCCACGTTCAACGGCAACACGGCCGGAGCCACCCAGGCGGCCATCCAGGACCTCAAGAAGCAGGGGGTGGACGCGTACGTCCTGGACATACGCAGCAACGGCGGCGGCCTCTTCCCCGCTGGTGCGTCCGGCAGCAGGTGGCCGCTACCTGCACGCGCACCTGAACCCGCCTTCGCTTGCGTCAGCCGTGACTGGGTGTCTGCTTTTGGTGCCGTCTGGGCCGTGTGGACTCTCTACCAGGGCGGAACTCAAAGCTTGGGCCCCAGAAGCCCGAAAGCAGCACTGACAAACCCATGTGTGCATGCACAATCACGTACGCACCAATAGTTCGGCCGCATGCGTGCGCCCACGCATGTGCACGCGCGCACACACACACACAAACACACACACACACACACACACACACACACACACACACACACACACACACACACAAGCACGCATGCACGCACGCACGCACGCACGCTTTGCAGGCGTGGCGGTGGCGCGGATGTGGGTGGACCGCGGCGAGATCGTCCTCATCGCCGACAGCCAGGGCGTAAGGGACATCTACTCAGCGGACGGCAACGCCCTCGACGCGTCGACACCGCTGTCGGTGCTGGTCAACAAGGGCACCGGCAGCGCCGCCGAGGTGTGGTGCTGTCGCACATTACTATCCCTGCAATCAGTCATGACTGCACCCTGACTATTTCAACATTTTGTCAAGCACACAACATGATTTAGTATCCGCAGAAGTTGCTCCACAACGAAATGAATGAGTGTCTTGTGTGTGCGGCTGCGCCCGTGTCCTCTCAGCCTTGCTCTTTTTTGCACGCAGTCCACGCTCCTCACAACCCCCCCCCCTCGCTCAGGTGTTGGCGGGCGCGCTGCGGGACAACAAGCGCGCCACCATCGTGGGCGGCACCACCTTTGGCAAGGGGCTGATCCAGACCATTGTGGACCTGAGTGATGGCTCGGGGCTGGCCATCACGCTGGCGCGCTACCAGACCCCCCTGGGCATAGACATCAACAAGGTGCGTGTGTGGGCGTGTATGTCAAGGGAGGGCGCGCGCGTGCATGCGTGTGTATGTGTGTGCGTGCGTGCGTGTGTGTGCGTGCGTGCGTGTGTGTGTGTGTGTGTGTGTGTGTGTGTGTGTGTGTGTGTGCGCGTTTGCGCATCTGTGTGTGTGCGTGTGTGTGCGCGTGCGCTCGCTCGCGCGGGCGTGCATGCGTGCGCCCAGGTGCACCTGCGTGCGTGCATGCATGTGTACACGCGTGCATGCGTCGGTGCGTGCGGGAAGGAAGACTGAGTACGTATGGTCACACGTGTTGACTGGTGTCTTTTCTATCAGAGTTGCAAGGTTGGGGCGTTGGCGAAGCTGGCGGCCTCCAGAGTGTCGGCGGGCTTGCCTAGACTTGCAAGCCCTCACAACCCTGGCTGCACTCCTAGGGCGCCCTGACACCCTCGCCTGTCCGCCCCCTCCCATCACCCTCCCATTCTGGCAATAGGTGGGCATCACACCTGACATAGGCCTGGAGGACAGCGCTGAGGTGGAGCCCGAGGCGGGGAAGCTGCCGCCGCCAAACGCGGGCGCGGTGTGCCGGCTGCTTGCATCGGACGTCGCGCCGCGGCTGTTCAAATAGCGTGTAAATCTCTATTCAACGTCATGTTGCCCGTTCCTGGAAGCCTATGGGAGGATGCAAACAATGACGGGCAGCACATCTGCCCTGGTCAACATGCACCTGCTGGTCGATACCCTGGTTCCATCGAGAAGTGCGCGACGACTGAAAGGACATTGTAGTGATTCCGTATACGGCGCACTGTGTCTGGCCTGTGTGCATTGCAGGGCGACATTTCAATCGGAGCACTCAGAGTCAACCTTTCCATGTGCGCCGGCGCAGTACCTCGGTGAGCTGGTGGGTACCTCGGTGCGTTACCGGAGCCCACATCCAACATACTGCTGCTGCGCAGCATGGGACTTGGGGCACGCGCGCCATCCGCGTGACGATCTCCTGGTCCGAGAAAGCCACAGCAGACGGCATCATATACCGTGACGAGTCACGATCTCCGTGAAATTGTCAACGATCTACCATCAGCCTCCGAGCCATATCGGGAAAATCGCGTCCATATTCAGCGCCTGAGTGCCATTCTGTGGTACGATTTGGGACCGAGCAGACGGGGTGAGCCACTGCTGCCGCGCGCAAGTTGGAGCCTTGCCGTGGCACAAAAACAACGGAGCGCTTGCAGCGCCGCACAGCAGCCTCTCATCGACACTCCCTGACGCGCCCTTGGGCGCCGTCGATGCGATTACCATGTCCTTGATGACAGGATGGCAGGAAGCAGCCTGGATGACGTCTGCGTCGAGCTGGCGGGCCAGGTGCTGAGGTGGCTGGCACCCGCCGACCTGCACAGCGCGAGGCTGGCCTGCCGCTTGTTCGACACCGCGTCGCGCGCCCACCTGGGCCGCGGCCTGATCATGGCCCTGACTGCCGACAACGCCGGCGCCGAGCGCGGCCGCCCCGACTTCTCTCGATTTCCAAACATCCGGACTCTGCGGCTGACAGCTCTCTACGATTTCGAAGTCCGCCGGCTTCTCACCTGCTTCCAGCCCGCCGGCCCGCGGGCCGGCGAGGCGGCGGCAACCCTGTCCAGGGTGGCGGCCCTTGACCTGCGGCTCCTGCAGGGCAGCGCGGCCGCGGTGGTGGCGCTGCTGCGGCTGGTGCCGGATGCCACTGAGATTGCGGTGCCGACCCGGTGGCGGGGCGCTGCTGGAGGTGAGGGTGCTGCCATTGCTGGTGCTGCTAGTGCTGGTAGTGTGCTGTTGGCTTTGATGTGATGCACCGATCAATCAAGTGCATGGGTGTTCCAGGTCTACGCGTGCTGCGATTGCGCGTGTGTGCTCGCGAGCGTGTGTGTGTGGGGTGTGTGTGTGTGCGCGCGTGCGTGTGTGTTCGTGTGTGTGTGTGTGCGCGCGCGCGTGCGGGCACAAGCTTGCGTGCATGCGTGCTCAACTGCTCATGGACGTGCTTGCGCCGTGCGTGCATGGGCCGGGTTTGGTGAAATCGAGCGCGTGAGGACATGTACACCTGCCGAAGTTGGAACCACCCAACATTACCGCCGAGACATTTGCAGAGGTTATTACAGGGGCACGCACGCCAACCCCCCTCCATCGCAGCCCATCCCTTCTCCCGCGACGACGGCGCTGACGAGGCGGCGGCCTGGGCGGCGCTGCCCCGCGATTGCCTCGCATCGCTCCGCGCCAGCTGCGCCCTGCCCGAGAGCCTCTGGGCCGCGCCCTGGCCGCGGCTGCGCGAGCTCCGCGTGGCGCTGCTGCCCTGCCACGCGTGCGAACCCCTCGCCCGCGCCGCGCCGCAGCTGACACTGCTCGTGGCGCACGTCACGGGCGGGTGGGGGGCGAGCGCGGCTGTGTTGCCCTCAGTCGTGCGGGCGCATCTGACGTGTAGCCAGGGGATTTTCGAGCGGCCTGGCGTGCTCGGCCAGCTGCTGCCCTGTGTGCAGCATCTCGTCCTCAGAACCATCTTTGACACGCGCTTAATTGGCGACAACGGGGCCCACGGCCTCTCAGAGCTGTCAGGCCTGACCCGTCTTACCCACCTGCGTATTCACGCCGCTGGGCGCTCCGCACGCGCCACCCCCTGGCCCGAGTGCACCTGGGCGGCGCTGGCCAGCATGGCGGCCCTGCAGGAGCTCTCGTGCGAACTAGACACGCGCGACGCCCCGCGGCTCGTGCAGGCGCTGCCTGCGCTGCGTGTGCTCGATACTCGGCTCGCTTTTCGGGGCGCCGGCGGCGATGACGAGGGCGGGGCGGCGGCCGGGCAGGCGCTCGAGCATGCGCTGCGCGCGGTCGCGAGCCTGACGGGCCTGCGTGCTTTAGGGCTTGACGCGCCTTGGGGGACGGCCGCGGGGCTGAAGCCCGCCCTGTCTGCGCTCCTCGCACGGCTGCCGCACCTGCGGGAACTGGCGGTGCGCGGCCCCGCCCTCGCGCCGCGCGACGCGGCCCCCCTCTTTGAAGGCCACGGCTGCCTGCGCAGGGCGGTCTTAGCCGCCCGCGTCGAAGCGGTCATTGGGTCGGGCGCCGGTTTGGAGGAGCCGGCCGCGTCGCACGCGCGGCGCGGGCTGAGCATCGAGTGGACGCTGCCGAACAGCTACGTGCCTTTGGATGCATTCAGGGAGGACTGGGTGAAGTGACGACGAGATTAATGATGTAACCGGCATGTCATTGCACTGGTGCGCGTGGGCTATGCGTGTGGCCTAGCCATGATGCATGGAATGTTGCCTTGCATGGCCAGCACAGCAAGCAGGGGCTGTTGATAACTTGAGGTGGCGGGGTGGCATCAGCGTTTATACAGGTCACACTGCACGCCAGGCACTCCGACATGTAAAACTTGCTTTGTCTGCGCGCGCACACGCATACACACACACACACACACACACACACACACACACACACGCACACACGAACAGCACGTGTACCACTACACTACAAAAGTAACGGACCCAGCCACAAGAACAATGGCACCAAAGGGCGGCATGCCGGGCATTTTCTCATTTTGTAGGGTTGCAGCGTAGATGAATTGGGCGGTGCGTGGCTAGAAAGGTACAGACGGCGGCTAGATACCAACACCAGAACAAAAATCACACCACGCCAAGAGGCGCAGGCGCACACCACCCAGCAACAAAGCCTTGCGCGAATTACGTGAGCCACTCGAGTTGAGTCATCAGGGCCATGTGATCAGAGGGGTACGCCGCACACGGCAGGCCGCCCGCGCCGATCTCGGCCGCACGCAACATGCGCCAGCGCGCCATGGGCGCCAGCTGCTGCGGGCTGAAGTAGAGGTGGTCTATGATGCGCCTTGCCTCGCCGTTGGGGCGGAACTTCCAAGTGCTGAATTCCTGCTCCTCCACCGCTTCCTCCCGCTGCTGCTCATGCTCATGCTCCTGTTGCTGCTGCTGTTGTGGCTGCTCCTGCGGCTGCTGCTGGCAATTGTGGTGATGGTGCTGCTGCTGCCCATCCCTGATGCACCCATCCGCGCCACTCCCCGGCCCAGTGCACACTACAGTCCCGTTGCCATGCTGGCCCGAGCTGCCCCCGCTGCTGCCTAGCTTTCCCAAGTCTGCCGCCCAGGGCACGTCCCAGACGCTCTGCAGCTGCAGGGTGGGATGCCGCTCCATAACCTGCGTGTGGTGGGAGCAGGGGCAGAAGAGGCTGAAAATCGAGCAATAATCACGGTTTGCTCACCTGCATGCAGGTAGCGGCAGGATCACGCACCCCACCTACCTTCTTTGAGGAAGGGTTTGGGGACGATCAGATAAGCGGGTAATTGGATGAGCGGGCAGGTAGACGCGCCCTTTGCCTTGGTCCCAACAAAATAGCATGTTGGCTTGCTTCCCCCTACCTGGCAGGCTGGGCTGCCGCGTGTGGCGTTGAAGTCGCCCATCACCAGCACCGCAGGCCCACCGCCGCCACCCCCGCCAGTCGCAGCCGCGTCTCGCGCCTGCGCGACATGGTCCAGCAGCTGCTGCGCCTGGAGTGTTGGGCGTTGAGGGGCCGGGGACGCAAGCAATCAGTGGTGTCAACCAGCAGGCAGGCAAGAGCAAGCAAGCAGGCAGACATGTGTCGACGCTGGAGCGCATGCCTGGAACGGCTCGACACGCATTCCCCTCAAGCCGCCAAATCCATGCCTACCATCTACCATCACAAGGACCGCCCGAAGCTAGCCGAACAGGGCAGTAGGGTCCACGCACCTGCGCCCGCCGCGTCTCGTCATTGGGGCCGCCGTCCTTGGCCTTGAGGTGCGTGGCCGCAACCACCACCAGGCGCCCCGACTCGCGGTCCCGCAGCGTCGCCGCGACAAAGCCCTGAGTCATCGGGCCCCCGCCGCCTGGCTGCGCGTACGGCGTGCCGCGTGGGGCGCCGTCAGGGCTCGCGGGCGAGAGGCGGCTGGCCCGGTAGAACAGTGCGCAGCCGTCGGGCGGGGCGCCGAAGCGCTCCGTGGGGCTGGGGCGCTTTGGGAGGAAGGTGCCAACGAGGCCCTGCTGTCCCAGTGCTGCGGCGATCTCGTCTGCGGGTGCAGCAGTTGTGCGAGTGTGCTTGCGTTTGTAGGTGGTTTTGCGTGCTGATGCTGCGGTGAATACACAGCAGGCACGCGGAGTGGCGGGGTTCTTGCTCGTGCTTGGAGGCGTTCTGTTGGATCTTCTGTTATTGATAGGTCGCGGTGGTGACGGGCCCAGCCCTGCGCACCATAGTGGTTGGCCTCCTGCAGGCACACCAGGTCGCAACGCCCCTCAGCGACCTCCTGCGAGGTCCAACAGTGGCAAGCAAGCTTGTGAGTGGGAGGGCCGTTCGTGTGCAGCCAAATGTTGCATTGCAGGCTGCCTGAGGAGCGACGCGTTGCGTGCAAACCTCACACGCCGCTGCAACCGCTGGGCTGATCGCTCACCGCCAGGTGGGCGGGAGGCAGATGAAGGGCCAGATGCAAGGCTATGACTGCAGCGAGCTAGCAGCCGCCCTGCTACGGTTGAGTGCGTTTGCGCACCTCTATGATGCGTGGCAGGCGGTACTCCCAAGCCAGAACCTCCGGGGGCGCCTGCGACGGCGACGAGGGCGTTTGGTTGCCTGGTCAAACAAGGTCAAATGCCAGCTTCAACGCCGCCACGGGCGCGTCGCGCAATGGCATTCTGGTGCTGTTCCAAGGCATACTGCACACCCCACTCACATTTACAAAGTCGCCGTTCTGCGCCAGGCCGTCCGCCAGTATGTTGAAACTCATGACACGCAGCGGCTTGCACCCTGCTGCTGGGAGGAGGGGCGCCCGCTGCAACGGCAGCTCCGTCCGCCGCAACTTCGGGGCATGGACGGCTGCATGACTCTGCACCTCACCCTGTTGCTGCTGCATTTGTCGCTGCTGCTGCTTCTGCTGCCGTTGAGCCGGACCTGCATCGGCATCGTCGCCGCTGCCGCTGCTGCCACTGCCCCACCCAAAGCAGCGGCACCGCACCATCACCGCTGCCGATCGTTCGACCTGCCTGCAACTGGTGATTGGAATGCTCCGCGGCCACAGTGGGCAGCGGAGCATGGGCAAAGAGAAAAGATCGCAGAGGAGATCTACACCCAAAGAGCAGCAAAAGACCAAGCATTGACAATCCTATCACGGGTAGCTACCGATGTTTAGACGTGACTGACGCGGCAAGGTGGATGGATGGATCTGGGTCACTCCCGCTCAGCTGAATCAGCAGTGCAGAGCACTGCATTTACCTCCCTCACAGCCAACCTCGTGGTGGCGCTATTTGTATGCGGATGCGACTGTACTATCCAGTCGGTCATTCAGCTCGCCAGGGTCAGCGCAAACGCGTTTGACCTTCGCAAAAATGGGGACCAGCCGAGGGCAGCTCGCGAGAGGTGAGCTTCAATGCAAGAGGAGCAGGACCTAATTTAGGTTTTAAACATCCTGCTTCCGTGCCTGACCCCTGCTCTCTATTGCACATGCCGTCGCCTCGCCCTTGCGCCGCGCCCTTGCGCTGCGGCGCGATGGCGCCGCAGCGCACGAGCAGCGTGAGGCTGCAAGGAGGCAGCAGGAGACCTCACGGATGGAGATACAAAAGTGAGCCTTTGGATCAGGCGCAGCAGGGTGCCTGCACATGCACACGGCAGCGACGTGGCCGTGCGGCCGCGACACCGGCCACCTGTGCTGCATGGCCGTGCGCCCGTAGTGCAAGCCCCTCCGCTGCCCATGCGGACTGGCCCCGCGTGTCGCCGCGCCAGGTACTACTCCCAGCAGCGCGGCATGGACGCGGTCAGCGGCAACATGCTGCGGGACGACGTCAAGCGCCACGCGCGCGAGGCGCGGGAGCGCGAGGCAGAGCAGCAGGCGCTCGCTGCGCTCTACACGGTCCGTGGTCTTGCGGCCGCGCATCACGCCACGCCACAATGATGCGCGCGCAGACTGAAGCATCCGCTGCATTTATAATCCTCGCACGGCCCTGGCAGCTGCTCAGCGGCGGCAATTTATTACGTCTGTGTCACTGTGTGTTGTGGCCGATCCTGTCCATATGTTCGCGCCGCAACTGACAGCAAGCCCGCGGGCAGCAGCAGCGTGCTGCTCTGGAAGCCAACCCGTTCCCCCGCCGCGCCGCACCGCGGCTGCATACACACAGGCCGACCGCGAGCGCGAGCTGGCAGCCATCCGCGCGGAAGAGGAGGAGGCGCTCTGCGGCGCGCTGAGCAGGCAGGCTGCTGCGGAGGACGCCGCGGCGCGCGAGGTTCAGCGGCTGCGGGAGGAGAGCGCCGAGCTGAGGGAGTGAGCGGCGCCACTGACCTGCTTCTTGCATGTTTGGCCGTGTTCATTGGTGGGGGTTTGGTGCCTTGACACTGGTTTACAGTGCGCACGGGCGATGGTTGCAGGTTGCTTGCTCACCGCGCCGTCTTCAGGTAGTTGCTGCAGCCGGAGCTGCGGCACCAGGGAGCAGAGGCGACTGCCAGCGGGCACAAGGCAATACGCATTCGGATGCGGTACGCCGCGCAGGCTGCGTGAAAAGCTGCGCGTGGCGCGGGTGAACAAGGAGCGGGCGCTGCAGCTGGCGGAGAAGGCGGAGCTGGCCGCGCGGGAGGCGGAGTACGACAAGGCATTTGACCAGGTGCGGCGGGACGTGTTGCCCGGTCAATGCGGCACGCACGTGCATTGGATGCGGCAGCGAAAAGCCCTGGGGGTGCTGGCGATTGGGCGTACTGCACTCATTTGTTGCTTCTGGCCCGGAAACACTGGCAGGGACACTGCGCCTGCTTTTGCAGGTGGGTGGGGGCTCGTTGAACTTGGCACGCCACGAGGCAAACGAGCACGGCCTCTGCCCTGTGGCCCGCCGTGCGCGCAGGTCATCATGCAGCGTGACGCCGAGGGACTGCTGGCGCAGCAGGAGGCGGAAGCGGCGCGCCGCGCGGCCGGCAAGATGGGCATAAAGGTGGTGGAGCAGCAGATGCAGGTTCGCGCACAGCCCTTCATTCGGTGTGCAGCTGGTTGAGCACTGGCGCAGTCGAGGCAAACCCTGCATTTTTCGCCGCGCCCGACGCGCGGCGCACAGCGAAACCTGTTTTAATGCTGCGTTGCGCCAGCAAGTCCACGCTGAGTCAGACGCACCCAAGCGTGAGCATGTGCAAACGCGCTCTGCCGGACACCTTGTCAGGAGCGGCTGCAGGTGCAGGCGGAGGCGGAGGCGGAGTTCCAGCGGGAGCGCGCCATGGTGGACGAGGTCGTGCGGCGCATACAGCAGGAGGACGCGCTGGAGGCTGCCGCGCGACGCGCAAAGCAGGTGCGCGCACGGGCGCGCACGGGCGCGCACGGGCGAACATGCATGAACATGTTTGCGGCGGCACAGGCAGCAGAGCCTACTTTCTCTGAGTGCCACAGCCTTTCAATGGTGTGGTGACCGCAACGCACGTTGCAAACCCAAGTGCCCATCCGCACTCTGGTGTGAGCAACGCTCGCTCTGCGGACGCATCCCAACGTACGAGCACCCCTGCCTGCCCACTGCGCCCCTTCCGACTCCTCCTGACGCGCTATGCCCTGAACCCTGGGCACTGCCCGCCATGACGCAGGACGAGACCAAGGCGTACATCGCGCACTACCTGCAGCAGCACGAAGCCGAGGTGGCGGCCAGGCGGGAGGCGGCGGCTCAGGAGGACCGGCGAATCGCAGAGTACTGGAGCATGGTGCGGCGTGGCGGGGGGCGACTGGCTGCATTTGACCAGGGGTTGACTTACGTCCATGAACGGGTGCTGTTGGTGGTGATGTTGTCGTATGTGAGCTGGCGGCACCCAGGTTCACTGAGCACCCAAAGGTGCAGAGAGCGCCTCAGGCCCCCCCCCACCACCACTGCTCTGTGCCACACATACAGGTGCGGGAGCGCGAGGGCCGCGAGGCGGCGCGGCAGAAGGAGCGCCGCGACGCCGCCGCGCGCATCTACGACCAGCTGCGGCTAGAGGCAGAGGCCAAGCAGCGCGCAAAGGTGGGGTGCCGCCCTCGTCGTGGAACTGCGGCCGGCTGCATTGCGAGCAGCAGCATTGATTCATCATCCAGACACGCCTTTTCACCTGCGAGATTTGATTCTTTCCACCAGGTGTCCGGCCTGTGCACCGTGCGAAAGAAGTCCCTGGCCACATGATGCTATCGTGCGGCTGATTAGTAACGACTGGCCCTGTCGGCGGACTCCCCTGTCCCCCACACTGCAAGGGGGCCGCACACCCCAATGGCCCTCCAACCCCAGGCCTGACCACCACCACCACACGGCAGATACCCCACCCGCTCCTCCAAACACCCCTTGCTCATCGACTCGACCCCCCTGCACCCGCGCCTCACGGAACCGCCGCACCTCCCGCCACCCGGTGCTGATGTGTCGCGCCAGGACGAGGAGGACTACCTCATTGACATGATGCGCGAGGAGGAGCAGGCCGAGAAGCGGCGGCGCGACGCGGCGGCGGCGGCGGAGAAGCGCGAGGCGGCGCGGCAGGACATGATGGCCGCCAACGCCGAGATGCTGCGGCTCAAGGTGCGACTTCGGTATGGGGGTTTGATGGGTGACCAGGGGTTGATGGGTGACCAGGGGTTGATGGGTGACCAGGGGTTGATGGGTGACGAGGGGGTGCCGCTGCCTGTGGTGGGCACCCACAGGTGGGGCCCGCACCCGGGCGCTCTGTGGGAGCTTCGGAGGGACAGGAATCCCCGCAAACGGTGAAATCTGCGCCGAGGCATCATCGGGTCCCAGCCGGCGTCACAGCGCCGATGCGATGCGCGCTGCACCAAGAATTGATGCTTTGACTCTGGTACATTGCCCGCGCCGCGCCGTGCCCAGGACGAGCGCGAGGCCCGGGAGCGCGAGGAGGAGGAGAGGTTCAGGGCCGCTGCGATGGCGCGCTTCGCGGAGGACGACCGCGTTGAGCAGATGAACGCGCAGCGGCGGCGCATGAGGGTGCAGGTGATGGGGCGCTGCCGGCGGAGACGGGGGAAGGGGGGAGCGGCGGGTGCGCCAGGTGCGTGTGCCTGGGAGCCCGTCGCCGATCACCAGAGTTGCAGGCCCGCGTGTTGTTGCGGCCGAATCGCGACCCACCTGGGGCCGTTTGAATAATTGAATTGCTGCAGGAGCACAAGCGGGCGGTGGACGCGATGGTGGCGGAGCGGCGGGCTATGTTTGAGGCCGCGCGGGCGATGGAGGCGGCGGAGGAGGCCGCCCGGTGAGCGCTCCCCCACAGCAGCTGCTGCAGCAGTGCCGGTACCAGTCACAACTGCGCTAGAACAGCAGAGCGGGAGCCTAAAAATTGCCTGCCCACTGGCACCGTGCTGCGCAAGAATCCGAGAAATCAGCGCGTGTGGCACGATGTCGTGGGGACAGTCTTGTCGAATTCCACTAGATGCCAGACTTGCAGGCTTGCTGGCTCACCTGGCCCCCCTCCTCCCACCCCCCTTGCCCCTCCCTCCCCCCTCTAGGCGTGCCGAGGAGGAGCGCCGCGCGGCCATCGTCGAGGGCGAGCGGCGCAGGCTGCTGGCGCAGGCGGGGGACCTGCAGGGGTACCTGCCGCGCGGCGTGCTGCGGGACAATGCAGACGCAGAGCTGCTGCGCTCAGCGGCTGGCGGCGCCAGCCCGGCCACGACCGCCTCGCCCGCTGGCGGCTGCGCTGCCGGCTTGCCGCAGCCGAGCGCGCGGCAGAGGCGGTGAAAGTGACCAGTGTGCTTGCGATGTGGCTTGCTGCTGTCGGGACAACGGGCTACCAGAGCGGTTGGCGGGACAGGCTGGCAGTCAAATGCCTGACAGGTTTGGTCAACACGGATGGGGCGAGTCTTGGCAGGTGCAGGCTGACATGCCTCAGGCTACCTACGGTAGTGGACCTTACTGTGTACTCTTGTTGTGTCACTGCATTGTGGTAAGGCTGTTCCTGGCTGCCTAAGACGAGAGTGATGTGCATTCTGACGGTGCGGCTGCCCGCTAACTTTTACTGCAGTAAAGCCTTGTAAAGCAGACGAAAATCATACGATAAATCCCACACAGCTGCTCATCGGCGGCTCCGTTCTGCAGAGCGCGAGCTCCCCCACGCGGCAGCAGCATGAATAAAAGCGTTGCCCAACCGCAGCACGCTGAGCAGCATTGAATGAGCGATGCATTCATCATATGCACAATCGATATCGACTTTATGAGTGCGACCCTGAGAAAATTCACGGCATCACAGGCACCCCCTGCATTTCCTTTGCACAGTCGGAAACCTGCTGTAGCTGTTTGAAGGGACTGCATAGTTGTATATACACACGAATAATCACTTGCGAGACTACTGCCGTATCCTGGAGACCCCACTGGTGCAGCACCAACAGACGAGCAGCGCACGCTGCATCAGTCCGGCCACTGCAGCGCACAGCTGTCCTCTGCATAGTGGCGCCAGGCAGCGGTGGTGCCCACTCAAACTTGCAGGCAGCACAGTCCCGTCACTCCCAGCAATCACGTCAGGCGGAAACAGTCCAGCAGGAGCGAAGCTAGGCCGAATGCAGTGAGCAGCTGCAGGTCATTGCCGGTGGTGGTGCTCGGCACGAGCGCGGCGCGGTAGCAGGGCCACGCGTGAGCAACGCGGAGCGCCGGCGGCCTGCAGTCCGCCTCGTCGCAGGGACGCTCCTTAGCAGCAGGGCCGCCGTGGCGCAGCCGCCGCCCCCCCTTGGCCCCACCGCCGCCCGCCACCACGGGTGAAGGCGGCGACGCGGCCGGCGGCGCCTGCGCGACCGCAGCCGCGCGCCGGCACAAGAAAGGCATGGCGGCGCGCGCGGCCGGCCACGGCCGCATGCCCAGCTATGGGCAGCTGCCGGGCAGCCAGGCACCCGGCGGCCAGCAGACGTGCCGGTCCAAGGCCATGCGTGCCGCACGCAGCACCGCGCCGCTGCTGTTTGCATGCCTTCTGTCCTCCCTAGTCACGTATTCTGTGATCTACGGCCTGCAGCAGCGCGCGGTGGCAACCGCAGGCTATGCAGGAGAGCGGCTCGAGGTGCTCACAGGTGCGGGAGCTTCTCGGCAGCTGCCCGGCGCGCACCCAGCCGGGCAGCCGCGCCGCGGGGAGGGCGACGTCGAGGCGCTACAGCGGTCGGCGGCGGCGCACCTGCTGGAGCGCGATGCGGCGATGCGGCAGGCGACACAGACGCAGCAGAAACAGCAGCAGCCGCAGCAGCAGCAGCAGCAACACCGGCAGCGGCAGCAGCAGCAGCAGCAGCAGCAGCAGCAGCAACAACGACAGCAGCAGCACGTCGCAGCGGCCGTGGCAGCGGCGGCGGCTCACCATCAAGCCGCAGTGGTGATTGCAGCGAAGCAGCAGCGCGCAGCCGCAGCGGCGTTGAAGCCCCTGCCTGCCCCGAAGGCCGCGGCACAGCACGCCCAGCAGCAACAGGCACACCTCCAACAGGTGACTGCTCCTCACCCACAGCTGCAGCAGAGCAACCCGCATGCGAAGCAGCAAGCGCCAAATCAGGCGAACCCCGGCCACCCCGCGGCTGCGGCTGCTCACCAGGCGCCCGCCACCGGCACGCATCCGGGGCAGCAGCAGCAGCATCAACAGCAGCAGCAGCAGCACCAGCAGCAGCAGCAGCACCAGCAGCAGCAGCACCTTGACCGGCTTACGGCCGGTGCGGCCGGCGCTCATGTGGCCCCGCATGCCGCGTACGGGTCCACGGGGCGGATGCGCGTGGCGGTCGTAAACCACGCGCCCTATCACCTGGAGATTGTGGCCGGCTGGCTGCAGGTGCTGAGTTCAATGAAGGTGGAGGTGATCTGGTACCAGGCCGGGCAGGTGTCGCGTGACGGGAACTTCACGGCTGAGCAGCTGCTGGAGACACAGGTGACCAGGGGTGGGG